TTTCTGCACACAACATGTTCAGTGCTCTACAACTCGAGAGCGGATCAAGGGAATAGTAGGAAGGTCATTACTGTTAAGAAAGTATGGGACATTAACTTGATGAATCACCATTGTAGAGGGAACGTCGTTATTGTAAGTCGTTGTCATGAAGTGATAATAATGACGATCGTTCTATAATGGTGATTCAAATGCCGTCATGATACGGGCAAGATCACTTTTACTAACAGTGGAATTGATTCAGGAGTATTTTGGGATGGCATAGCTGCCCCAGCCTGGAGGAATTGATCCTACTATGCCGTGTGGGTGTTAAATCGATTATACCAAGGCATATCTTGGGGTGGCATAGCTGCCCCAGCCCGGAGGAATTGATCCTCCTATGCCGTGTGGGTGTGAAATCGATTATACCAAGGCATATCTTGGGGTGGCATAGCTGCCCCAGCCCGGAGGAATTGATCCTCCTATGCCGTGTGGGTGTGAAATCGATTATACCAAGGCATATCTTGGGGTGGCATAGCTGCCCCAGCCCGGAGGAATTGATCCTCCTATGCCGTGTGGGTGTGAAACCGATGATACCAAGGCCATGGGTGGCCATAATAAGCACCATTTGGTTACCTCTTCCTTCGTCCGGCCTGGTAACTGGGTAAAAACGTCACATTTTCGAATTTTCTCGCTCTTCACCGCACCGTTTTCAATCGGGACCGTCTTATATTAGGGCGAGCGCGGACGAAACTGCGCTGAACTCGTGTGTAACTCTTGCTTCCTTGAGATTCGTACATTGTTCTATCTCTCATCTCTCGTAACCCTAAAAATGACCCTCAAACTGTGCTAGGATATAGAGCGTCATCAGCGCCTCCTTCTGCATTATGTTGCCCATCAGGCGGAGTTCAATTTCTTCTTGCATAGTGCTGGTGATCTCTTCTGCGAGAACTGTTACCTCCCATAACTGTAATATGCCGGAGCCACATCTCTCCTCAGAATCGTATTGTGAAATCTCCTTGTTACATCTCTATAGGGAAATGTATGACAGTTTGCGCTGAGGAACATTAATCAAAGGCCGTTTAGGTCTAAACTTTAGACCGTATATTCATAATCGTCGGGATTGTTATTCTTTGCATACTTGTTTGTATATAATCGTCTCACTCGAGGCTCGTTAGTCTACCTCACTAT